GGAAACCTATGAATATCTGCAGATACTTCTTGTTATTATAGTTTTAATTGTAAAATATGAGCGTATTCATCTTCAAATTTTATTGTACAATACCTTGTTTAAGAAAAAAACCAAAGCAATCATTAGCATTTTTTGTACTCTTCATTTAAAATTTGAAATGATTTTGCAGCTGTCATAATATCTGAAATTTTCTTACAGATATTTAGTTCGTTGCTGAAATTGTCACATGCATTACTGCATTAAGAAGGTAACCTCTGTAAGTGTGCAATAGATTTTCGATGGAGACTTCATTCATTTGATGAATATCAAAAAAGTCTAGAATGATTCTGTTTTCCAAACCAGCGTTCTCTAATTATCGAAAACTTACTGGGTTTTTTTAAGAAAAAACTGTCATTCTACGACGACTACGTGGAAAGTCGATTTTCGAGTTTCAACTGCAAATTTATCACGAGCAAAGTTCTAAATTCGATTAGTGCATGTCTGCAAGTTTTAATTTTTCTAGTATTTCCTTTCACAAGATGTACAGAGATGAACAAAATGTGAGTTAATATATGAGAGAATATCGAATATTCAATATCACACGATAGAAGTTACTAAAGAAAATTACGGCTCATTCTGTGAACTAACCTCATTGGTCATTTTATTTTTGTAAAGTTTGAAATTGAGTCTGAACAAATTGACCCATATTGGGAGCTGTTTTGAATATAATTGCAAGAATAATATAAATTATATTTGTTAATAATGAATTAAAAATATTTGAATCTATATTTATCAAGTATATCTAATCAAGCCAAATATTATAACAATATTCATCCGAAATGAATTTAAAAACCAACCTATGATCACGAAAAAAAACTCGTTGTCTATCTATACATCATTGAGTATTAGACAAAAAAGAATCACAACTATAACTAAACTCGATATGCTTAATTTTCAATTTTTTGAAATTATAAACAAATAATTACACATCAATATTCTCACATTTAAGTTCTTTCAAACAAATCTCATCAATCATAACATCGTCAATTGTTTTTAATTGTTCACTAATTGTATTAGCAGATTTTAAAGTATATTTTGCTGATAATAAACCATACGCAATAGCTCGATCAATATGATTAAAATTTGTTTTTAATAATTGATTCATAACACCTGCAGCAAAACTATCACCAGCTCCAGTTACATTTTTAATATCTTGTTGTTCTTGATCTGTGATTAAAGCTTTATATTTTTTTAATTTTCCATTAATACATATTAATACACCATCAGAACCCATTGTTATACAAATTAATTTTAAATTAGAATGTTCTTTAAATAAATCTTTTAAACTCAATTCTATTGATGATGATGTTTCTGTAATAGCTTGAAATTCAACACGATTACAAAAAAGTACATGAATATCTTTTAAATATGAATTAATTCGTCGAGCTTTATTTGGACCACCAGCAGAAATAAATACTAAATATTTTTTATATTTACGACTGATTTCTGTTAAATATTTTATTGCTACTTGACTCAAATTTGCATCAAACATAATCCATTGACTATTAATTAAAATTGAAAGATTTTTATCTAAAAATGTTGGTGTTATTTGTCTTTCATATATGTCCATATCACCAAAACCACAAATAAGTTCATTTGTTTTCGAATCAAGTAAAGAAATATAATTTGCTGTTGATTCACCTTCAATTTCATGAATAAGAGTTGGAGTTGGATCATTTATTGTTAATATGTTTGACGCACCCGAAACAGTAAGAAGACGAATAGAATGATTTCTTAGTAGATGCAAAGCATGTGTGACGTTATATGCAACTCCACCTAAATTCTGATGTAAACGGCAAGGAATAGTTGAACCTTTATATGGTGTAAAATCAGCATTAAGTTGAATATGTAAATCGATATTTCGTGCTCCAATAATAACTTTATTTATGGAATAATAAAATGTATAATTTTTTTTTTTGGTCTATTATAATAACTTACTTAAAGAAGATGAATCTGATTTAACTGATGCTAAAGCAACAGCAATTTGTGATGCAATACGAGCATTTTTATAAATTAATTTTTGATTCGTTTTTATTGATTTATTACCCGTTTGACGACGAATTTCACTTAGAACAAATGGTGTAACTTTATTACCAGTTATTTTTTCCTTGGTAGCTCGTTCGAGTGATTCACGAATAATTGATTCAATCTTTTCTCCACCATCTTCTTCTAATTCATCTTCTTTGTCAATAGGAACAGCAAGTAACAAACCAGAATTAAGTTTTAAATCAATCATACAACGAACAAGTCGTGCTGCTTCATCAATAGTACGAATGGCTGCACATGAACGTGATCGAAATTCATTTGTTCGTGTAAAAAAATTTGGAAATTCATCTGTATCACTAAATGTGTAAACTAAAACGAAACATACGTTCTATGTAAATAAATATTTCTTTCTTTTTTCAATAGTACCTCCAACACCTTTTGTTTCAAGATATTCAAGTGTTTTAGGAATATCAAGAATTGATTTAACACCACTTGAAACAACACAAACAGGTGTACGTCCTAATTCATCTAAATCTGATGATATATCACCAGTAGTTATTGTATCTCGATGAACTCCACCAATACCACCAGTTGCAAATAATGGAATACCACAACGATGTGCAATAAGCATTGTTGCTGCAACGGTTGTACCAGCTGATGCTTGACGAGATATAAGATAAGGTAAATCACGTCGAGAAGCTTTTTCAACATTATTCGATGAACCAAGTTGTTCTAATTCAGTTTGGGTAAGTCCAACTTTAATTCGACCATTTAAAATAGCAATTGTTGCTGGTATTGAACCATTTTCACGAATAATTTGTTCAATACGTAAACATGTTTCAATATTTGATGGTCGAGGTAAACCATGTGTAAGAATAGCTGTTTCACATGCAACAATTGGACGACGTTCATTTAAAGCTAATTTTACTTCAGGATTTATATCAAATGTATATGTACTGAAACAATGAATATGACGACAATGAAATGATGATAATAATAATCGTTTAACACTTAGCATGTTGTTTGATTTCGTATTTTTATAACATGCAGTCAAGTTATTTTTCTTTTGACACTTGTTGCAATGGAAGATAAGATAGATAAGTTTGTCGAAAGAAAAAAAAAAGCTTCGCGTTACATACTGATTCAGTATGATGTTAGATAAATAAATGTGTTACTATCATTTTAGAATAGAGACAAACTACAGGTAAATTATTTAACCCACAAAAATTTGTCAAATATATGTTAATTTTCAGTTATATGCGGTAAATTTTAATTGACATGAAAATGATAGATAGAGAAAAGCAAATGGAAGTATATTAATTAATGAGAAAAATAAGAATGCAATGGTGCATTTATCTATTTCTGATTTCTGATTTTCAGAGCATACTAATGACGAGAAATCACTTAATGATCACTATAGTTGATATCATTATGAATTATATGAAGTTATGAGCTAGATTAAAGTTCTTTGAAAATCTAGAAGGATTTTGAAAATTTTGCTGTTTGATATCACTGATCGAAAATAGATTATTTTGTCGTTGAAAATGTTCAAAAAAGAATTGGATTCATTCTTAAAAGAACAGACGTTATCATTAAATCTTTATAAATATTCTTCTTTTTGCATCTCAAACGTGAGTGATGTTTGGATTTATTCTAATCAAACTTATGTTAGTATTAAATATTCAGTCATTAGTATTCATCATTGCGTACATTTTAATATATGATTACATTGATTCGTTTATCAAGAAAATAGACATCTGTAATTTGTTGAGCCATATACAAACCAACTTATACAGTACTGTAATTATACATCATCACTATATATTGTTTGTTAAAAAATATTTATTCTTATTATTTTAAACAACGATTAATTACAATGATATATCGTTTAAATGCATTCAATGATAGAATTTATTAAGAGACGCATTACTATGTACTCGACTATATTGAAATGTGATCTTCATTTTTTTTTAGCCTTCTATAAGTTCTTATTCTGGTTCGTCATTAAATCGATCAATATGAATAAAACAAGAATTAGATCGATTCTATTCTTACAAACTATATATCATTTTAGTATTCATGTCGACATTGAACACATCCTGTTAGTGTTAACCGATTTCCATCAGAAAATGTATTCAACTACGCCTTGAGATTACGTGCAGATTTCCACTTGCACGGTCGTCTACCATTATGTATTTATATTGAGCAAAACAAAGAATTTAGAATCGGCAAGTACTCGACAATTTATGGAATGTCTGTATCCAACATCTTTTAAAGTAACATGAAGCTAAATAGAGTTCTGTAAAATTCTGTGAAATTCCAGAACTATTATTGTTCGATGCAACTGTGTCTACTATTAAAGCTGTAACGTCGGAGAGTGTGCACTCATAAACTCTCGTGCTATTCCATTTGTGGATAGTGATATTTGATTTAATGAGCTTTCAACAAAGTTTCATTATATGTACTCTTCGAAATAGTAAGAGCAAAAAAATTAATGAGACACATCACTAATGATCGATCTATCGGTTACGGATCGGTGTGAAATCTGTACTAGTACTAGTTCCCTCTTTGTCTAGTGTGAAAGATCGTCAGATATTAGATATTATAAGATCTGTATTATGATGTCGTATTCCGAATTTTCCCATGGAGCCATCTGCAGAATTCTACGTATAAAATTTTGCACCTTTTGACTTAACTTTACAATTCCAGAATCTTATAGAGTTCAATGATTCTTCACGAAATCTATTATTTCTCTTGACGTATACGTCTTATTTCAAGTTGTTACGAAAAAAAGTCGCAGCTTTTGGATCTCTTAAGAAGAAATCCCATTGCCAATGGGTTCAAGTTGTTCTTTTTTCTACTATCAATCCTTTGTTTGACAAATAAACACGAATACATTGATCAAAAAAAAATCCAAGTTTCTATTCCTCTTTTTTCTCATATGATAGACTCATTTATTTCATGTTTTTTTTCCATTAATAACTTTTAATAACACAATTAGAATTAAGTGTAATATCAACTTGACCATCAACACGAGGTGAAAGCATTTCATAGTTTGATTTTCGAAGAACATAAAAATCTATATGATTTCCATCAAAACTCCAACTAACATCATCAACTCTTACACATCCATTATGAATTTTACCATCTAAACAAAAAAAATCTGTTGAAAAAAAACCAGGTTTTTCGGTATAGTAAATTTCTTTACTTGGTAGTACAATATCATTCAATTGATGAACAAAAACTTTACTTCCATATGGTATATCATTTGCGGCTACGAGTTACAAAAAGATGAGTAATTATTTGAATAATGAACAGAAATCAACAGATATTTAATGACTTACCAATACTTACGTACGGTTGAAGTGCATTTCCTTTAGAACCTAGTGGATTAGAGACTTTCATAAAGCAACTACAATCACTATTGCCTCCATTTACATATCTAAAAACAAAAGAGAGCTCGAAAGAAAAATCAGATCTTTTACACAGACTCGCCAGTACGAAGTCGTCCACTACATTCCATTTGTAATGATTTCCAATAAGTTTTTGAAATTTTCGCAAGTGTACCACCGCTGCAACTTTTCAAATTATGATCAGAACCAGCTGGATAATCTAAAGAGGAAAAAAACATCAATAGTTTTTCAACGTTAACATTTTATGTATTCACTAACCTTCTTCAAAAGCAATCCAATAATAAGTAAATCGCACGTTTTTGGCCGATACGAAACAACGAAAGACAATACACACCATACATAGTAATGTAAAAGGTTGCATTTTATCAAATCAATATTTTTATTTTTGTCAAAAATTACAAACTACTCTAAAAAACAATTAAGGTACCATACAGAATCATTTTTGCAACGAAATCGGAACCTTCAAAATGTTTCGTAAAAACCCAAGATAGTTTCAAAAATTTTTCAAAGGTTTTGATTTCGTTGCAAAATTCGAAACCATTTTTAAGTTT